ACAGTGGTATTCAATGGAAATCTTGAGGAACTATAATCATGTTAAAGAAGAACCTGATTATTCAAAGCATTGGACACAAGCATTACCCACTGCAAAGAGATAACATTAACTTTCCAGTGACTGCAGAAGCCCTCAGAACAAAGAACATTAGCCAGGTGGGGCAAAGGTCTTAAGTTTAAATTTAAACTTGCTCTGGTACTTGTTATCCTCATTAGAGTTCTTCAGGAGGATTTGTAGAGATGGGCCTGTGAATCTCTCAGAGATAGTCAGCTGTTCACTTCAAGTTTTTTGTTTTTTAATTTCCCTATTATAGAAAATATTAAGATGTCCCCTTCCGTCCCTTAAACTACAAAGGTTTTTATATAATGTCCCAAGAATGTAACCTTTAATGATAGCCACTAAGTCTCTAAATCACACCTGTTAATAGAAAACTGTATTTATTAAGCAAAATACATTTGTTAGGAAACTGTTATTTGCTATAGATAATCTAAATTTATTATAATACTGTTACAGAAAATGAAATTTGTTTATTCACACTATAAAAAAGAAATTATGTTTGTGATCATTATATCAATTAACTCTATATTTATATACTAGTATAACATTTATTTATGCACAAAAATGTCTGGTAAAATATACAAACTATTATTAAGTGACCTCCTTTGAAGACTAGGATTAGGGGAAGGAGATTTTCCTTTATATATCTCTGCTTATTAGTTTTAAAAATAAGACTACAAACTCATAGTAAAGGTGGGGCAGGGAGGAAGGGGACATCTGCAATACTTTCAGAAATTAAAAAAAAAGAGTAACAAAACAAGAAAAAAACAAAGAGCTTAATGAGTTTTACCTTGTTCTGGTCTTTCGCCATCATCACAACTGTTTATAGACCAACTGGTGGAAACATGCCCAGTCCAACCAGGATGTCTGCCCACATCTACTGACCAGCCAAGGGAGAGCAAAAATTCTAGGAAATGTGGCTGAACATTTCTGGAAGACTCCACATTCTTTAAAATCTGAAATACATATCATTCATCAGCTATAATAAAGGAAACAAGAGCATATCAAAATGAATCTTCATAAAAATCAGTTTGGAAGTATTTGACAAATAAAGTCTAAGTTCAGAATAAACTTGGCAATATACAACTGTAGTTAAAAAAAAAAAGCATGCTTTTGAGGTAGATTTGAGTTCAAATCCTTGCTGGGCCTTGGGCAAATTTCTTAACCTCACTGTTTCAGATTTTTCATCTATACCATGGGGATAATAATGATGACTGTGAAGATTAAGTGAGATAAAGCAAGTAAAGCCCTTAGCTTCCCCCCACCCCCAGCAAAACAATTATTGAACCAGACTTGTTTATTAAAAGTAAACAAAAAACACTTTGTCCCTGCCTTCACAGAGATTACTGATTAGTGAAAAACATTACCTTTGTATGTGATCATTTAATTATAAATCTTGACAAATGCTATCAAAAATACAAATCGATTAAAATTCAATAAAGGTTAGGTATAATAAAAGAGCATAAAAACATCCATCTCTTAGTCCAAAGAAGAGCATGCAGTCATTCCAGAAAAAAATGAAGGACTATAACGTTCTCTCTTCTTCATTAAGTACCAAATTTAATAACTGGACTTTTTATTGGTCCACAAAAGAAAAGCCCCTAATTCTGAAACAGTGGTACTCACAGGAGTGAGTTTGCCCTCCAGGGACCACTTGGCAATGTCTGGAGACATTTTTATTATCTCAACTGGTGGGGAGCTATTGGTATCTAGTGAGTAGAGGCCAAAGATGCTGCTAATTCCTATTTACAGGACAGATCCCTTAAGAAAGAATTCTCTTGCCCAAAATAGCAATAGTTATGCTGTTGGACACCTTACACTAAAGAGAGGAAATGTGACATCCTCTACAAATTAAATGGGGGGTGGGGAAGACGGAGGGAATGTACCAAAATCACCTGTGGAATTTCTTAAACCTAAGATTCTCTTAGCCCACTCCAGACCTTCTACATCAGAATCAGCAGGGATAGTATCCTGGAATTACTATTTTTAGAAGTCCTCCTGCCCTGAGATTGATGCAGCTAGTCCACATACCACTGATAATAGTTCATACAATGCTAATCTATGTCAAGATCGTCAGGGGGCCTGAAAAAATCAAAATATGGGGTGTTACATCTATTATTTCTCAATCCACTGGGTATCACTGCCAGGCCATCTTCTGTCAAACACATCATCTCTTAAACACTTTTTAGTAATGTAACTATTTTGTTTACTCCTATCCCTTCATATATTCTTGTAAGTGCCAGGAAACTGATTTGACAGCCAGTTCCAGTTTTCTTCCAATTAAAATTTGTATTCATAAGTGAAACTTTTAAATAAACAATTTCTGGAAATTGAGTCAAGATGCAGTAAGTGAATAAAATTCAACCTGAAGGCCACTGGCTGGCAGCCAGAAATTATTCTAAACCTACCCTGTGGCTAGGTCTCAGCCATTATAAAAGAGGCCTCAGAAAATCTTCATTGTTTCATAGTAGCCCTCACTCCCATGACAGCTAAGAAAACTAAAATAGTTTGAATTACCTTAAGGGTTTGAGTCTTCTTGTACAAGTAGGAGAAAAATAGTCCTATTATTCTCATACAAACCACGCATCAGACTTCCTTTGAAAGAGATCCCCAACCCCTGCAATTAACCCAATTCTACTGAGGTTCTTCCAAAAAACTTGAGTCCAACAGTCTCATTCCTGGCTACCACAAGCCTACATTCTCCCAAGAACCAAGCATATTAAACCCTCAATGAATTTTGTAAAGACAGAGTTCTGTTTTACCTCCAAAGCCTTTATATATGCTATTACTTGGTTAGTGACAACCTGCTTCTACTTTTTATCTATTGTCAATGCATATTTCAAATACCAGCTTAAATGTCTTTTCCTCCAAGGATGACTTCTTAAAACCAGGTTAGGTGTTCCTGTTTTGGAGCTTATAACATATTCCTATTAGCACACTTTTCTTATTTTTTTTTAAATTTTTTAAATTAAATCTTTATTGTTCAGATTATTACATTTGTTCCTCTTTTTTCCCCCCATAACTCCCCTCCTCCCAGTTCCCGCCCCACCCTCCACCCTCACTTCCCACCCACTGTCTTCATCCATAGGTGCACGATTTTTGTCCAGTCTCTTCCCGCATCTCCCACACCCCTTTCCCCACCAAGAATAGACAGTCCATTTCCTTTCTATGTCCCTAATTCTCTTATA